CTTCCTAGACTGCAATGACCATGTAGACTGAGAGAAGGCTGAGCTCTGCTTCACTTGGGAATCTACGCAGCAGTAATTGTTTTAAAGTAACAGCACCACCAGCAAGTTCGCTCGATGTGTGACCCTCCATGCCTGCATCTGCCTGCAGTTGTCACTGACCTCCATAGTGTTTCTACCTATACATGCACCTGGCTACCTCAGTAGGACTTCCAGCATTAAAATACATATGACTTTGGTTATTTATTAGAGGTTTTTGCCTTAGGGCACATGCACTTGCCGGAGAGAGACAGAGACAGTGAGAGGGAAAGGGAGAAATCACTCCCCAGGAGGAATGGCCATGCCACAGTCCGTTGTCTTCCGCTCCCCTTCCTGGATCTTGGGCACACATGCACATGCACTCGATGTGAGTTTTAAGCCACTGGGTCCAGGACTTGAACCATGGTCGGCCAGTGGGAGCCCAGCAACATAATGGTGACACCATCTGCTTGTCCCCCAAGTGACATTCTATTTATTCTCTTCTATTTTGAGGATAGTTTGAGAAGTGCATATACCTGTTCATTGTTTGGATAGGCAGGTTTTGTTATTTATGAATTCCACTTCAGAATAGACAAAGAGACACTAAGTCTCAGAAGACACTGGGTCTTAGAACCACAGACATCTTTTGCTGTGTGAGAGGAGGAATCAGGCCAGTGCAAGAACTGACTGGAAATGTCCAGACAGCCAGGAGCCACACGCTATCAGATGAGGTCTGAGGCAGATGTGAGGAAATCAGAATCCTCATGCACCACTGGTGGGATGTGAAAGGGGGCAGCTGCCATGGAAACCAGTCTGCAGATCCTTAAATGGAGTACTGCTTGTACCAGCAATTCCACTCCTAGAAACATCCCAAAAGAAATGAAAATACATGCTCACTCAACAACATAAACACTGATGTTCATAGCAGTGTATTCGTAATAGCAAAAAAAAAGGAAATAACCAAAATCTTCATCAATTTGTGAATGGATAAATAAAATATGGCTTATGTATACAGTGGAATAAGAGTCAGTCATAAAGAGTGATGCAACATGGGCGAACCTTGAAAACATTACGGTAAGCGAAAGAAGCCAGATGCAAAAAGCCACAAAGGGTATGAGTCCATCTATGTGGAAGGTCCAGAACAGGTAAATCTGTAGAGATGCTAGATTCATGACTGCCAGGGGCCGGGGCTGTGAGGCTAATGGTGGAGCAGAGAGTAACTGCTAATGGACCTGGGGTTTCTTTCGTAAGTGATGAAAATGTTCTGGAATGAAATAGTGATGAGAGTTGTACAACTGTGAGAATAAATTTAAAACCACTGAATTATGTATACTTTAGAAGGGTGAATTTAGGACCCGATGGTGGCATGGTAGTTCAAGTGGC